CACACACGGCCCCCTCCCCACCCTGGTACAGTGTAGTCCATCTGAGCTGTGTGTGATTCATAGACAACATCTGTGCACGGAGGTTCAAAACACACACACACAGATACACAGATACATCAATGGTCAGGACCATGTATATTGGTGAGCCCGGGGGGGGGGGGGGGGTCAATCATCTTGACCTCATTCACTGTACACAGTAATGCTACGTGAATCACAGCAGGACCTTTGACTCTGAGACCCAGAGAACTCAGCCGTGGTGACTTTTTTATTTTTTATTTTTTTTATTTTTTATTTTTTTTTGCAGCTCTGCAGGTGGTGAAGAGCAGCGATCGGGCGCTTATTTAAAATGGCAGCGCCAATATGGCAACAGCTTCACAATTAGAGGGCAGGTCTGTTCAATTGAAATGTCACACTATCAATTATGAGCAGCACACACTGATAAGACGCTGACATTTGTGTCAGTCAGAGGAACCGCCACGTGACCCGTCCATCACTCAGCTTTTTTAACATCCCACCGTTTCCCTCCGGCGCTCCGGCGTCGGCACTTGTCAATGTCACGCTCACCTTTTACATTTCACACTTGTTATTTGTAAGTGCTGCGTCGCATGTGACAATTTTTTGGGGGGGAAAAAAAAAAAAATTCAAAGCTGGAGCTCAAAGCAGCGCAGCTCCTCCACCTGAAGGGGGCAGTTCAGGACCTGGACTGTAGGGGTCAGCGGGGGTGTTGGGGTGTCGGCCAGTCCCATCGTTGTTGGTTGGTTGGTTGTTATAAGTTGTGTTTTGGTCAGGGTTGAGTGATGCTGTGGGAGACAGCGGGGGAGTTCTTTTTGTTATCCAGCCCTGCATTATTTATGAATTTTCATTCCAGGAATGCAGTAGCCCCTGGCACACTGATGCCACTTACTCCCGTAGAAACGCTCCCGTGCCTCCCTGGTGCCACACAAAAGTTCTCCAAAAAAAAAAAAAAAAAGAAATTCCCGGAACTGAACAGAGAGCCAGGAATTACTGGGAGAGAACGTTGGAAGGAGTTGATAAAAACGCTGCCATGAAAGTTAGAGTGGAGGCTGAGGACTAGAGAGGACTAGAGAGGACTAGAGAGGACTAGAGAGGACTAGAGAGGACTAGAGAGGACTAGAGAGGACCAGTGAGGACTAGAGAGGACTAGACTAGACTAGAACACATATATAAATTGTTGGGGTGTGAGAAAATATCAATACATCGAAATATCACGATATTTCCTTCTCCATCAGTTATTGATTTTTTTTTTTCTCTCCAATTCTCAGTCCAATATTCCTGGTGTTCCTGGTTCATTTTCTTTTTCTTTTCTTTCTTCTCTAGTGATTCCAAATGTAGATCCCTCTGTTCCAGAGTTAGGAACTGATGTAGGACTACAGCTACACTGGGGGGAAACAAACTCAATATATCGTTGTGACTATAGTATTGCAGTCTGGGGGGATACATGGTATCGTATCGTGATACGTATCGTATCGTATCGTATCGTATCTCCAGTTTCTCGTCCGTCCACAGCTCTATTTCATTCAATGCGTTTAAATCAAAACAACCAGCGACCAAACCAACTATTGCGGCAAATATTACACATTCTTACAGACACAGACACACTCTCTCTCTCTCTCTCTCTCTCTCTCTCTCACTCACACACACACACACACACATACAGTATCTGCCCGAGGCGTTCTCCTTTCAAGTCCTGGCCGTGTCTCCACAGACTTCCTCCGCCCTCTATTCTTTCGTGTCTTCCCCGATTGGGCTTTAGGCAAGAGTCAGGAACCATATTCAGATGAATAAGGACCGGGGTGTTATGTGAGATTTGTCTGGTGAAAATGCAATCACACCCT